AAATTCGTCCAAACCCATAGAATGCACAGCACCAAGAGTGACCCCCTAAATGTAAACTATGGGCTTTCGGTGGTGATGATACGTCAACATAGTATCATCTGTTGTAACAAACGTACCACTCTGGTGAGGACGCCGACAGTGGGGGAGGCTGTGCACGTGTGGGAGCAAGAGGCATATGGGAATTCTGTGCTTTCTGCTGTATTTTGCTGTGAACCTAAAACAGCTCTAAAAATAAAGTCTGTTTAAAAAGGGGAAAAAAAACCCCAAAACATTACCAAGTGTGTAAAACAAAGAACAACAAAAACTACACGAATCATACAGCGTGATATGGCATACAGACAGACAAATACATCAGTGGAATAGAATCTAAAGTTCAGAAATAAACCCTCACACTGGTGGTAAGTTGGTTTTTGACAAGGTTGCCAAGACCATTCATTGGGGAAAAAATAGTGCCTTTGACAAATGGTACTGCAATAAATGGATACTCACATGCAAAATAATGAAATTTGAATTTGAGCCTCCTATCTCACATCATATACAAAAATTTAACTCAAATGGATCAAAGTCCTCATGTAACAGCTAAAAATATAAAGCACTTAGAAGAAAACAAAGGCGTAAATCTTCATGATCTTGAATTAGGCAATCCATGGATTCTCACACATGACACCAAAAGCACAAGCAACCAAAACACAGATACATTGGACACCATCAAAATTTAAAAATTTGTATGTCAAAATATACCGTCAAGAAAGTGAAAAGATAATGTTTACAACATGAAAAGTGTTTTGCAAAATTAATTGTGGTGATGGTTGCACTCCTCTGCAAACATACTAAAAATCATTGAATTGGGTGAATAGTATGGTATGTAAACTATATCTCAATACATCTGTTAAAAAGAAAAAATGTGCCGGAGTCTGGGGGTGCAGTTTGTCCCAGGAGTGCATAGGGGCCCCAGGTGCCTGAACAGCATCAGGTGGAGGAGGGACAAGGTCAGAGCTATGAATTGCCAGATGACTCTGCAGGGTGGAGCATGGGCTGGGGGCAGGATGGGTTAAACATCAAGAGCAAGACCCTCCACGATATATAGGTGTTTATTTCCTTGTGTAGGAAGCTGAGAGTTGTAATAAGATGTGGTGAGATCACGCTCCTTCTGATGTGAAGCACTGAGAAGTGCACGACATCACTTCTGTGACGTTCTCGCCAAAAAGAATAACCTTGTCTAATCATGTGTAAACATCAGACAAAACCAAACCGAAGGTCATTCTACAAAATAACTGACTGGTGTTTTCCAATGGTGTCAAGATCATGAAACATAAAGACAGACTGAGGAACTGTGGAATTGTCCCAGATTGGAGGAGATTAAGGACACATGTCAACTAAATGCAATGTGGGATCCTGTACCAGAAAAATGACATTATGGGACAATTATTGAAATTTGAGAAAGATCTGTAGAGTGGGTAGGTGGAAATTAAAGAGTATTTTGTAGTAGTCTGTTAATTATATTGTGATGGCAGTTGTTTATTATTACTTTAGAAATTTCATCAGTATAAAGATAAACTGTTATTAATTTTTTTTAAAAGGTCTGTAGATTAGTTAATAATTTTATATCAATCTGATTTCCTTATTCCAGTAATTATACTTTCGTTATATATATATATATATATATATATATATTTTTTTTGTCTTTTTTCGTGAACGGCAACAGATCGCAACCCTCGGTGTTGCGCCCGCACCTCGCTCAGCCAGTGAGCTGCCGGTCTGTACGTGGGATCCGAACCCTCGGCGGGAGCGCCGCCGCGCTCTCAAGCGGCACACTGTAGCAGTGCGCCACCGGGCCGGCCCCTATACTTTCGTTATATAAGATGTTCACATTTGAGGAAGTTGAGTGAAAGATACACAAGCATTCTTTGTATTATTATTTTATTTTTTTCTTTTTTTAGCGGCTGGCTGGTACAGGGATTCAAGCCCTTGACCTTGGTGTTACAACACCGAGCTCTAACCAACTGAGCTAACCAGCCAGCCCTCTTTGTACTATTTTTAAAAACACCTTTATTGAGGCATAATTTAAATACCATGCAATTGCCCATTTTAACGTATAACTCAATGATTTGTTAGTAAATTTACCAAGTTGTGCAAACACCACCACAAGCCAGTTTTAGAACATTTTCATAACCCCAATAAGAGCACGCATGCTCGCAGCCCCAGCCCACCACTGACCTGTTTTCTATCTCTATAGATTTGCCTTTTCTGGCCATTTTGTGTAAATGGAATCATACAATATATGGTCTTTTTTTGTCTGGCACAACTTTGCATGTTCTTGAGATCTTTGTACTATTTGAATGGGACAGTTGGTGAAACTTGAATAAAATCTGTAAAAATAGCTTGATAGTATTCTACCAATGTTAATTTCTTGGTTTACAACACTGAATTTTAGTTATACAAGATTTTAACATTAGAAGAAGCTGGGTGAAGGGTATATGGGGACTGTGTACTATTTTTGCAATTTTTTTATGTCTAAAATAATATCAAAATAAACTTTTTTTTTTTTTTAAGATCAGGGCCTGAGTTGTGCACTGCCTATGATGGTCTACTGTACGGAAATTCTGATTTCTTTCCTGCCAAATAGTTCTGTGAGACCTTCCTCCCAGAGGTCCTTGGTGAGCTGAAGGTTCCTCAAGGTCTTGAGGGGCTGTAGTCACAGAGGGCATGTCCCACGGGGGCTCAGGGAGGAGCTTTCACTTCCCTGTTATGTTTGTGCCTCCACAGCTAAATAGGAGGATGGAGGGTGGTGGGTGGGCCATGCCTGGTGGGCCTTGGGCTGGCCTGTCAGCCTGAGGCAGGACCCAGCCCAGCAGTGCCGTGAGAGGCTGGGGAAGCTCAGAGGGAGAGAGATGGGACTCAAAGGACCCGGGGAGGGCTCTGAGGGCTGAGACCCAGGTCCCTGCTCTGTACATCTGCCCAGGGCCTTCCATAGAAGCTGCTGATGTCAGGCCCCAGCTTCCTGTTGCCAGGGCCGAGGGGATGAACTCAGATGGGAAGACACCCAGGCCTCAGCGGAAACAAGAGCTTGGCAGAGAAGAGGGCCAAGCTTGTGAAAAGGCACAAGGACACACATGCAGGCCTGAGCTGAGCCTTGACACATTGACAAGCACAGAGACATGGCCGGCATCGCTCTCTGGCACTCTGTCCCCATGTGTCCCGGCTTCCATCAGTCATTTCTCCACCATGAGCACGGTGGAGACAACCACCTTGGTTTAAAGCAGAGGACAGGCATAGGCACCTGGCCTGCTCGAGGAGCTCTCAGAGTCCCCAGCTGGGGAGCATCTGGTCTCCCTGGGGGCAATGATGAGCAAAGGGCACTGGGCATTGGCTAGGTGATGAGAGGAAGGGGACCTGGGAGAGCCCAGCAGGCACGAAGCCCTCAGGCTGGCACCTAGGCTTGGGGGAAGCAAGGTGACCCCAACATGTGGAGACTCCCTAGGTATGACCAGCAGAGGGGGGCCAGGGCATGCTGGTGGCCCAGGTAGGACCTGGTGATGTGGCTGTCCCTCTGCCCCACTCCTTCCATGGCAGGCCTGTGCTTGCTTGTGGCCTCTGCCCGTGTGTCTGTATCAATCTGGACTCTGCCACCACTGACTAAAAAACCCACCTCAAACCAGCTGAAGCCAAAAGGAGAAGTGGGGCCGGCCTGTGGCTCACTTGGGAGAGTGCGGTGCTGATAACACCAAGGCCACGGGTTCGGATCCCATATAGGGATGGCCGGTTCGCTCACTGGCTGAGCGTGGTGCTGACAACACCAAGTCGAGGGTTAAGATCCCCTTACCGGTCATCTTTTAAAAAACAAAACAAAACAAAACAAAACAAAACAAAAGGAGAAATGGCTGCTATACAAAACTGAAAAGGCCAAGTGACCCAGAAGAGTGTTCCAGGCCACGTGGACCCCCAGGCCCCATGACATGAGTCCTCAGCTCAACCCTGTGTTGGCTCCATCCTCGGAGTGGCCAGTGACCACCTGCAGCCCTCTACAGTCTCCCTCCCCACTCTGAGCTTCCTTTCACAAAGTTCTAAGGAAGTTTCCAGAAATGCATCTCACTGTCTTAAGTCAGCCTTGGCTCACACAGTTGGTTTTGGCTCACATGTCCATCCCACAGGCCTGGGAGAAACAGGAATCAGCTCTGTCCAGACCACAGGACCTGAGTGTGGGCCGAGTTGGGGCTTCAGGAAGACGGGGAGGAGGGCCTGTTACCTTGAGCCAAGAGGAACGCTAGGCAGGCAGAAATGGCAGGTGACTACTCAGGGTCAGAGGTCCCAGGAGAATGATGGGCTCAATCATTCCATGTGGGCTGACCCACCCTGCCAGCTGGAAGTCCTTGGGACAGATGCCCCCCACCATGGACCACCATGGCTCAACAGCAAGATGGCCCTTGTGTATGGAGCCCAGCGACTGTGTGGCTGGTGGGCATCAGGTTTCCTGGAAGGAGGAAGAACTTGGCTGGGCCCAGTGTGGCAGGGGGCACTTGCACTCCATTTTGAGGCCAAAGGGATCTGGAAACGGCTTCAGCAGGGAAGGGTGCGGTCAGAGTTCTATGTTACTGAACAGCCCAGGCCAGCAGCAGGGAAACAGATAAGCATGTGTGTGTTTGGGTGGGCCAGGCAGTCTGGGATGGGAGCCAGTGAGTCTGGAGCCTGGAACTTGACCTGGGAGGAAAGGGCAGCTGGGACTGCTAAGTGTACAGGGCCTGGGAGACCCAGGGGTGAGGAGGCAGCTGGACACACCCAAGGCTGGAGTGGGCCTAGGTGAACAGCTTGGGCTCTGCCAGCACAGGGCTAGGCTCAGAAGGGGTAAGAACTGGGTGGAGTGGCCAGGATGTCCCCAGCTGGCTGCTCGCCCCTGCATAGGCCCTGGTTTCCGCCTTCTCAGCCTGGCCAGCCTCTGGGCTCTGTGTGGTCACGGTCACCCCCCTCCACTGTGAAGGGGCGGGAGAGTTCTGAGGCCATTGTTCCTCTCCTGGGCTGGACTCTGAACAGCAGACGGGGGCTAAGAGCTCTGCAGCCAGCCCTCCCACACACCATCCAAGCTGGGCACCATGAAGGACGAGGTGGCTCTTCTGGCCACTGTCACCCTCCTGGGAGTCCTGCTGCAAGGTGGGCTGGCTCCTGTCTGGGAGGCGGGTGGGCCTCAGATCCCTGTACCCTGCCTTCTGCCCTCCAGGCCCCAGGGAAGTGCTGGCAGGACCAGGCCCAGGTGAAGGGGGGAGGAGGGGCCTCCAGCCCATGCTCTGAGTGCCAAGGCCCAGCTGAGGGGCTCGCACTTTCTCAGAGTGGAGAGGAGGAAGCCCTGGAGGAGAGATGTGACTGAAGGGCACACAGTGGAAACCCCAGGCAGGGACCAAGAACGAAAGGGGTGCCTGACCAAGCGGGATGAGTGGAGGGATGGGAAAAGAACGCTTGCTGAGGCACAACTGAGGTGGGTGTGCCAGGTGCCTTGGGGTTGGGGGCTGGTAGTTCCTTGGCCAGCATAAAGCCCCTTGGAGGAGGGCAGGGGCTTTCAGGGATCCAGGTGGAGCATCCAGCTGCGTTGAGCTGTACAGCTGGGGGGCAGGAGTGCCAGGACAACTGCCTTTCCGGTTGTCTCCTCTCTGGGTGTCCCAGCAAGAAGCTCCCATCTCCTGTCCCTACCTTCAAAGGACTCTCCATGCTGCGACCATGTGGTACTGGACAGGGTTGGAACCACTCCCCCAGCCCCCTGAAAGGTACCTGCTTGATGCCTTTCTCAGACCGGCCCTAGAGGACACATTCGTGCACCAGATATTACTGCTGCGTGGAGACACCATTGCTCCACAGTGTGTGGGCCAAGATAAGGCACAGCCTGGGGCAGGGCCCTGCAGAGACTGAAAAGACAGGCAGGCTGACTTGATCTCCAGCTGCACCAGCACTGTGCTGGCATGGCTACCCCTTAGTACCAGTGCACTTGGGATGGGATATGTCTGCAGAGGGCCTGGCACCAAAGGCACCAGGGCCACAGCACTCGCAGGGAGTTGGAGACACTCAGCATTGGGGCTGCGTGTGTGGTTGGGGCCTGGCCTAAGGCCAAGAGGAAGGGCCCCTGCTCACAGTGAACACGTAGGGCCAGCCCACCCTCTGCACCTACCTACTGGAATAGAGGGTGGCAGAGCCCTGGGGTCCTGGGGTTAGGCTGGGAGAGTCCCAGCTGCTACCGCCCGGGAGCAGGGGAGAGAGTATCTGTCAGATTTAGGCCTGGGTCCAGAACCCCTGAACAGAGAAACAGAGGAAAGAGCCCATGTCGGTTTGGAGGCACAGAGATCCAGGCTTGAATGACCCTTGCCTGAGGCAAGGTCAGGGGTCCCTCCTGGTGGGTTCTGCAGATGGGTGGACCGAAACAGTTAGCCACAGGTTGTGTGCTTCCTTGCACCTCCAATGATGCAGCCAGATTTTCCCTCAGGCCCTGGTGGCACTTTCTAGGCCAGGCACCCAAAGCTGAGGTCCACGCCTAGAGATGAAGCTGGACATTTGCCTGTGTTTTGCAAGTCAAATGATTCAGGAGCTATTGTTCATGTGGCCCCTCCGGCGGGCAGGTGTCCCCGTGGCTGCGTCACCCTCCCCCATACACTCACAAGGCGGGAGAGGGCCTCTCTGCGCCCCCGACCCCAGCCCTGCCCTCCGCATTCAACTTTGCGGACACAGGGCAGGACACGCGATGGGTCGGGCGACAGGTGCCCTCGAGAGGTCGTTAGGGGCGGTCGGAGAAGGGAAACTGCGGGGCCAGACTGGAGGCCCGCCCCGCCCCCCCGGCCGAGGCTGCTGTGCATCCGGACCTGATCCCCGCTCCCCGTCGGCCCCCAGCCTACTTCTCCCTGCAGGTGATCTCGGCGCGCAGGGCCTTCCGCGTGTCGCCACCGCTCACCACCGGCCCGCCCGAGTTCGAGCGCGTCTTCCGAGCCCAGTGAGGAGCGGCGGGAGGACAAGAGCGGGGAGCGAGCGAGCCCCGGGCGGGGCGGGGTCCGGGGCGCAGCCCGGCCGGCGCCCTCATCCCATCGCGCCCGCACCGCAGGGTGAACTGCAGCGAGTACTTCCCGCTGTTCCTCGCCACGCTCTGGGTCGCCGGCATCTTCTTTCACGAAGGTCTGGGCGCGGGGCAGGGGCGTTCGTACTGGAGCCCCCGGGTCCCCGCGCCAACATGCTCACTCTGCCCCTCCGTGCCCTGTCGCAGGGGCGGCGGCCTTGTGCGGCCTGGTCTACCTGTTCGCGCGCCTCCGCTACTTCCAGGGCTACGCGCGCTCGGCGCAACTCAGGTGAGAACCGGGGCGGGGCTCCCCGGGAACGAAGCGGGGCGGGGTTCTGATGGCCCCAGCCCGAGCCCATGGCGGGCAGCTTGTTGGAGGAGGGTGCCTTTTGGGGAGCAGTTGGGCGGGACCTGGTGGAGGTCCTAGAAGGGCTGGCGGGCGGACCCAGCCCAGCGGGGGCGGCCGGGGCC